ATGACAAATCATCCGATTGGAACCTCCTTTATGTGTGGTTTCTAGTTGAGTAATAAAAGGAATTTATATTATACTTATTTGAAATACTATTAATGGATCCTCTAACCTTGACAACTGCTTTTATTATTGTTTCATCTTTAGATTAATCTTACATATCAAAGTTCTTTTTAACTCATCGTCACCATTATTATTATTATTATTACTATATAGTTAACCTCCTTATGGTTCGATCCTGGTCTTGCCGGGTTATTTTTTACTTCGATACTCCTACACTTGGGAGAAAACATCAATCTTTTGGTCATGTCAGTAAATCGATCCATAACCTCTAATTAGTTTTTTAACAAATTGTTAAAATGTTGTGAAATTTGAGACAAATTGCTCATGTTGTGTATAATCTTTGGATGTTTGGAAAAATATTAATTTGAATTAATGTGTGTTTTTTATTTAGGATGATTTGGTAATTTTGTTGGATTGTGAGTTTATTTTTAGGGTTATGATTGCAAATTAAACATTAAATGTTGGTTTATGGATTATGCTTGAGTTTAAATCGATTAATTTGAATATCAAATATTGATTAATGAATTATGCCTGGGTTTGTATTGATTCATTTGATTTAACATGTGATTTCAATGAAGTTCATAAAACTAAGAATTAAGTTGATTTTGATATTGTTGGATTATCAAGTTGGTGAAGGATGAATAAATGGATTGTTTTAAGTAGATATCTTGATTACAACACATTATTATTTATTTCCAAACTTGGTCTTAGTATAATTTAAAAAGAAATTCAAATTTTTGGAAAACCTTTATGCAATTAATTTTGGGTCTTTCATACCATTTCTTACCCTTTTATATTTAATATTTGGGATTGTAATCCACGTACAAAATGTTTTTCTTATTTTAAATAAATCAGTTTTCTTTAAAAAAATAGAAAAAAATAAAAAAAATCTTTTTATCAAAAATAAATTTAAATACTTTTAAATTACATATGGTCGAGCCTCTAAAATAAGAATTATATTTGCATAAAAAATAATATATTGCATGATTTACTATTTCTTGAAAACATCAAAAATAGTTTTATATCTTTGCATGTATTTTTGGATTTAATAGCAAGTTTATCAAATCCATGAAAACTTTCTCTATATTTCAAAAACATAAAAAAAAAAAATATTTATTTTTAATACTAAAGATTATAAATTCATATGTAAAATTTATTCCTAGCATTTAGAAAAATAAATGCAAAACATGTGTTCAAAATGGTTAGATTTGACCTATAAAGCTATAGTCTACTCTACTAGTATGGTGCAGATTTAATCAATAGACAGAATAATGATTTGGAAATAAAAATATCTTAATCATCAAAAAAATAAATAATATAACTTATTTTAAGTAGAATATATTAGAAATAATGTTGACCTATAAAATTATAGTCTACTCTATTAATGTGGTGCAGTTTTATTCAATACAATTAATACGGAAATAAAAGTGTCTTAATAATAATAAAATAAATAATATAACTTATATTAGAAATAATATTTTTCTTTTTATATAACTAATTTTTTTATTTAAACTTTGAAAACCAGCTACGATTTTTAATAAATAAATATTTGATGAAAATTCTAAACCTCTTTTAACTGGTGAAATATATATATAAAAAAAGTTAATAATAATTCTTTCAACCCGCCGAAGAAGATCATAATCTTAGAAAACAATTCTACATGTGCGACACGGGAAAAAAGAGGAAAGCTTCAAGGTTTTTGGCATCAGCCTTGCATCATACTGAAAACGTAACAACGCTTATGTAAGCAATATATATTTATATATTTGGTAGGAATTTTCGGTGAACCTTTCTCCGTTGCCTCCTTCCTTCAATCTTCCTTTATTTTATCTCTCTTTTATCATATATTTTTAGTCAAAGAAAGAAAAAGGCATAAAAGCCAATCTTTATCTTCTCTTTCGCTAACTCACCACTAATATATATGATCCAAATACCCCATTTCTGTAGTATATATAGCAGTTAGAAAAAAAACAAGCAGGAAAGATACATCAGCTGGAAATAATGGGCACTTGTTTGCCTGAAAAACTATCATCAAGCAGGGAAAAGGTGATAAAAGAACTTGTTCGAGGCCATGAATTTGCAACCCAACTTCAAATTCGCCTCCAGAAACCTTGTGGAAATTTTGATGGGCGTTTTTCTTCACCGGGTGAGCTTGTAGGGAAGATCTTAAGATCTTTTTCTGAGACTCTTTCTGTCATTACTTCTAGTGAATCTGCAGGTGGTGAGATTTGTCAAAATCTAGCAAGTTCACTAGGAGACTCTGCTTGTTATGATGACCGGAGGTCTAAAGATTCCGGCGAGAGCAAGAAGAGGCCGGCTACCAAGGATAGGAGAGGTTGTTACAACAGAAAGTAAGTTTAACCATACCCATCGTTATTATGTAAATGTTAGTTATAAATCCATTTACTGCACTTCTACCTTAATTAGTAACCATCATAAATAAAGATATTCATGATAATGACTTGCACTACTGATACCTTTAGAGGGGGAATTGTGAGATTTTTCTTTTTCTTCTGGATTGTGCTGAATTAATGCGAGATGATTGGTGATACATTTGCATGATTTATTTATTTTTTAAATTTTAATGAAAACTAATACAAACATCTTTGCTTGCTCCCTCCCAGAAAGATTTCCCAATCATGGACTACAGTCTGTCCTACGATTGAAGACAGTCATGCATGGAGAAAATATGGGCAGAAGGGGATCTTGAATGCTAAATACCCAAGGTAAATAACCTCTCTCTCTCTCTCTCTCCCCGCCCCCCCCTCTCTCTCTCTCTCTCATTTCATTTGATGCTTCATTATTTCGATATATAATTATGGATCCATTAATTTTAAGTCTCGTTTGGTATAAATGCAATCTTAAAAAGTGGAGTCCTTGACCATTTTCATAAAGCAGTCAAAAGTGAAGATAGAAAAAGGAGCACTAGTGGAGAAGGATTGGCTTTTGCTGCAATATATCAGTACTATAGTTAATGAAATTGCACATGTACTGTGAAGAAATTGTGGTCACTCTAATCCCACTTAGTTGATTGATTACAGGAGTTACTTCAGGTGTATTCGCAAGTATGAACAAGGTTGCAAGGCAACAAAACAAGTCCAAAGAATGGAAGACAACCCAGACATGTACCATATCACATACATTGGCAGCCATACATGCAGAAACATCCCTGAGGCTCCACAAATCATCACAGATTCTGATCCCTGGGAATCTTACAATCTAACGAATAGTGGCAGTTCTCATTCAAAGATTCCTAGATATGAAGAACAAGATCATCATCCCATTATGGGGTCATCCTGTAAAGTAGAGCAAGAATCTAAGGAAGATCAGACGCCAACTAATCTAGCAGACAATGTTTCGTCTTTAGATTCATTCATGTGGAAGGATCTAATCCCATTTCAAGAACCAGTGGATGAGCCTACCATGATATTGAGGTCTGATTATGAGGCAGTGGATTCTATACATTTGTTCTCATGTACAGAGGTCACCTCTCAAAGTTTGGACATGGATTTTGTCGTCAAGTCTTTTGATTTTGACTGTGATTTTCATTTTGATTAGAGTGAGTTTTCTAGGCTACAATAATTAATTAAATCCTGTTTAAAATTAGTATTCATAAATACCCACCTCAACAGAATAAATTCCGTGTACCATTTTTCATTACATATTTGTCTATTATAATTTCTGCTGTTCGTGGTGAAGAAAGATTGTAATGATCATCCCTAGCTAAAGCATAAATCAGAGAAACTTAGGTTATGTTTTGCATGATTTTTATATTTTGATTTAAGTTAGTTAACGCACTGCTAGAAATTCACTAAATAGCAATGGATTTACCGACGAAATATTTATGTCGGTAATTTGAGATTGAAATTACCAACGGTTATATTCCATCCGTAATTCAGTCGGGAATTACTGATGGAAAATGTCCGTAATTCAATCGGGAACTACAGACGGAAAATTTCCGTCGCTAGTTCCCGACTGAATTACGGACGGAAACTTCACCATCGTAAAAAAAAATAGGTTGCTGACGTGGAGATTTTGGCGGGTTATTTTTTCAGACGGAATCACCGACGGATTCAAAAAGACAAGTCGTACAGCGACCGTCGTTTATATTGCCGACGAATTCACTAAAGGATTTGAAATGGCAGATCCGTACAGTGACGTGTCGATTGTACCGTTAGAATCATCGACGGTTTCACCGACAGAAAATCCATCGGTGAAACCTTCAGAGACGTTAATATAAGTTCACTTGCCGACCCTCTCCTCCCCTATTTCTCCTTCTTCTTCTTAATCCCAGCTCTCTCCAACTGCAACCAGCCCCCCATCCCCCCCAAACAAAAATCTCCCTCATATCAGCAAATCAAGTTATATTTCTTGAAGTTTTGTGGTCACAACATCCGTGTTCTGATTTACCAACGGATTTTATCAATTTTTGTAAGTAATTCTTTCTTTTTAAATCTTAACATTTAATTAAATGTCAATTTTATTGTTTTTTTAGTATATGTATTTTATTAGTAAATGTACATGTTTTATTGTTATTTGTCAAACAAACTTGTTGTATATGAATGTATAATTCTATATCTGTTATGGTTTGTTTTAGATTTTGTAAGATTGTATTTGTTTGTAAATTGTTAAAACTTTATGGAACTACCGAAGTACATGTGGTGTTTTGAAATAATTAATAGCTTACTTATTAGGTCCGTTTAAAGTTTTGTCAATGGTATTGCGGAGTGGTAATTTCTCTGTAAATTTATATATTTTAATTTGTATGGACGTTGATAAATGATAATAAATTTTTTAATATTTATGAGAAGTTGTGATTGGTTTGTTGGATAATCTTGAGGTAAAGTAATATTTTTGCAAGTTTATTTACCTAACTTAGTTAATTAATACATTATGTCATCATAATTTTATAGAGGTTCGATATAAATCATGGATGATTGTTCATGGATGTATCGAGATTCACCCCAAGGATTGTGGTGGATGGATTATTGTAACGAGGTTCAGGGTTTTATTAATTTCGCAACATCTATTCCTAGAAATTTTACTGGAGGCGGTATTAGGTGTCCATGCAGGAAGTGTCAAAATAAAAAGTATCTACATCCAGATATTGTAATGATGCATCTTCTACACAAAGGGTTTATGGAGAATTACCAGTGTTGGTATGCACATGGAGAAGTATATGTTAGTGAGAGGAGAATGGATGAAACGATGGTTAGGTCTACTTCTAATGCTAGCAACGAGAATGACAACACTAATCCTTACAGAAACATGGTTATGGATGCAATGAGAATAAATCAAGGTAATGTTAGTCAATGTCCAATCGTAGAAGAAGAACCTAATGTAGATGCAGCTAGGTTTTTTGATTTGTTGAAAGATTCTGACGAACCATTATGGGATGTTTGCACGAGCCACAGTAAATTATCAGTCATAGCACAGGTGTTCACCATCAAGTCAGAGCACGGGTTGAGTGAGGCCGGGTATGACAAGATTATTGAATGGGCAAGAAGCATTTTACCTGAAGAAAACAGGCTAAAAGAGAACTTCTATGCTGCAAAGTCCATAATGAAACCCCTCGGTTTAGGATACCAGAAAATTAACATGTGCCTTAACTTCTGCATGTTATACTACCTTGAAAATGCTGAGATGACCGAGTGCATGATATGCGGGCATTCCCATTACAAACCTAGAACTAGCAGGGGAAAGACTCTAGTGGCATATAAAAAACTTAGATACTTCCCGATCACACCTAGACTGTAGAGGTTATTCATGTCAC